GTCGCCGTGGGGGGCCGTCGTCGTCGTCGTCGTCGTCGCCGTCGTCGTCATCGTCGTCGCCGTCGCCGTCGGGGGGCGTCGGGGGCTGTCGTCGTCGTCGTCGTCGTCGTCGTCGTCGTCGTCGTCGTCGCCGTCGCAGTCGTCGTCGCCGTCGCCGCCGACGTCGGGGGCCGTTCGGGGCCGTCGGGGGCCGTCGCCGTCGTTGTCGTCGCCGCCGCCGGAAAAAAGGCGAAGGCCGCCGAGAAAAGGCCGCCGAGAAAAGGCCGCCGACAAAAAGGTGAAGGCCGCCGAAAAAAAACGCCGGAAAAAGGCGAGGGGACGGAGAGCCTCCGAGGGGACCCGAGATCAGTTTTCCGAGCCGCGTCCGCCCGTGGCGACGACGAGGGCCCTCGAGCGCCAGGATGCCTCGAGAAATCGAATCGGCGTGCGAACTCACGGGCCCGGACCAGCCCGGACCGGTGATACCGAATGCTTCGCAGACCGACCGGCCCGGACCGACCGACCAGACCGGAACGTGCGGAAACCGACCTGCCCACCCCGGGGAGAGGCTTGCTTGTGGTCGAAGGTGGGGAGAGTCAGGATGATGCGGGAGGACTAGGGAGGACTCGTAGATTCCAGCGGCGCTCCGTTTTTCATAAAGGTTCTTTTTCCAAACCCTATTTCCGACACTTGTGTTTTGTGGAGTCCACAAGCGCCCCATGTTGTCATAGTGCTTCTTCTTCTAACAGTCTATATGCAACAGTGGTGCTCTGTTGTGCACGGTTGCTGTGGTGCACAGAAGCGCCGTGGTGTACACATGCGCTGTGGTGCACGCGGGCACTGTGGTGTACACTGGTGTTGCACACGGCTGATGTGGTGCACGCAGGCGCTGTGGTGCACTCAAGCGCTATGGTGCACGCAGGAACTGTGGCACTCACTGGCGCTGTGTTGCACGCGGCTTGTGTGATGTACATAGGCGGTGTGGTGTACACAGGCGCTGTGGTGCACGCGCACACTGTGGTGTACACAGGCGCTGTCGTGCAGATCGCCACCCGCGTGCTGCTGCTACCCGTCGTCGGTCATTTCTAAAGCATTCCCAGACGCCGCCGGCGCGAAACGTGATATCATCGGCCCCCCCCTCCAAAATGACGGCCGTCATCGGCCCAGAATAAAAGAAACAGGGGCTCCAGCCGCGTCCGCGCGCACGACGACGATGAACGACAAGCGACGAACGACGAGCGACGACGACGACGACGATGACGAGGGGGATAGGTAAAATGGTCGCGCTTCTGCTGGGCGGATTCCTATGCGGACGCCGATGCAGATCCCAATGCGCGCGGCGGCACTGCCCGGGGCACACTGGGGGAGGGGGTGGCGTTACGTTGTAAAGGGAGGGGGGGGGGCGGGGGCCATAACGCCCGCTATGCCCAAAACGATGGAGCAACACGCTCATGTTTTTGGCGTCGACCGGCGCGGGTTTGGTCGCATGGGTGTGTACGGCGCGAAGGCGAAGGCCACACTTTGCAAACGTGCCGGCCTCCATCCCTGGAGCTGCTGTAACTTTTGAAGACGATTGTCCGCGGCGCTAAATCGAGAACCACATTTTGAAAATCACCCGGTCTCCATCCTTGAAGCTGCTGCAGATTTCAAGCTTCAGGGTCATAATTTGAAAGGAGGTCCCAAGCGAAACGCCTAGCCTGGCCTACGGCCCCGTCCGGTGGTGCGACAGGTAGAATTATTGATAAGGAAAAGGAGCGGAGGAAGAGGAGGAGGAGGAGGAGGAGGAAGAAAGAGGGAGGGATGGATGGAGGGAGGGAGGGAGGGAGGAGGAGGAGGAGACCTTTCGGAAGACGACTAAGTCGCTCCCGTCGCCCGCGCGCGCTGTGGGGCCGCGCGCGGCAACGCTGCTGGCCGTGTGTACGCCGTCCTCCTGCACCCACACCATCGTCACCCGCCAGGCCCGTGCAACCACTCGAGTGTTGTCGGTGCCTTGGCGACTCTGGTCTTCGCCCTCGCATAGGAGTAGCTAGCTAGGTGTAAATTGGGCTCCAGCTTCGCCCTACACCCAAACCGCTTGTCCAGCCACTTCTCTTGGTGGGAGCCCGCTCTGCTCTTCTCTCGGCTCTGGTGCCTCTCGCTGCAGGTGACGGTCTGTGCGCCGCTCTTTGTGCTGTAACTGATGACTTTGAACTGATTATTATTCGCCCTGCTCGCACGCGATGCTCCCAGCGCTGTAGTTGATGATATCGGGCTCTCTCGCTTCGCCTCCCGTCAGCCACGTCGATGCGATCACTGCTCGGGCCCTCCACAGAGCCCTGCTAGTGCAGTCGCTGCTGTAGCTGATGGTGGTGGGCTCGTTCTTCCTCTCCACGGGGTAGTGGTAGCTAACTAAATCTGAATTGGGCTCCAGCTTCGCCTCCGTCGTTGGCGCCATCTTGACGCTGCCACTGTCCGCCCTTCTCGCACGCCCACTGCCCGTCGGAAAGAGGATGAGGAGGAGGAGCCGGGGGAAAGGAAGAAGGACGAAGAGGAGAATAATGAAAAGGAGGAGGAGGAGGAGGATGGAGAGGAGGCGGAGGAGGAGGAGGCTGAAGGGTGATGGTGATGATGATGCTGATGATGTACATGCTGCTGCTGCTGCTGATGATGATGATGATGATGATGATGATGATAATGATGATGAGGAGGAGGAGCAGAAGAGGGGAGGGGGGGGAGGAAGAGGAGGAGGAGGAGGAGGAGGAGGACCAGTGTAAACCCAAGCGCCATCAACGATGTTGGAATACACCTTCCCTCCAAGCTCCGTCATCATAGGCCCCTACAAACTTTCATTTCCATTGAGGGATGTGCCTCGTTGGAACACAGCAGTTTGAAGACCTGGACGCATGCCTAAACATTGTTCTCGGGATTCCAACGCCACGGATCAACCTGACTGTTGCGCCTTGACGATCCTGAATCGTGCCAGAACGCCATTCTTGGGATTCCAACACCGCGAATCAACGTAACTGCTGCACAAGCAAAATCCAGTATCCTTCCCAAACGTCATGAAACTCTTGCAAGTAATATGAACGAATGTACGTGGCGCTAAGGCGAGAGCCACATTTTTTAACGAAACCGCCCTCATTCCGTGAAACTCGGGCTATTTTCTATAACGAATATGCGCGGCGCTGAGGCGAGAACCACATTTTGAAAACGGGTGATCCTCAATCCGTGAAGCTCTTGCAATTGTTTAAGACGATTGTGCGCGGTATTACGGCGAGAGCCACATTTTGAAAACGGGTGATCCTCGATCCGTGAATCTCTTGCTTTTCTTTTTCCCTACCTAGGCTCTGCCTAGAAGGGTTCTTACTCTCTTAGCTTAAAGGGGCCGGGCAATGCTACACGCCCCGGGCGGTTCCCCCGGTCCCCTGGGAGCGGTTCCCCCCAGTCCCTTGGGAGCTTTAGCTTTAGCTTTAGCTTTAGCTTTAGCTTAGCTGTAGCTTAGCTTTAGCTTAGCGTTTCGCTTAGCGTTTCGCTTAGCTTTTCGCTTAGCGTTTAGCTTAGCTTTAGCTTAGCTTGAGCTTAGCTGTAGCTTAGCTTTAGCTTAGCTTTAGCTTAGCTTTAGCTTAACTGTAGCTTAGCTTTAGCTTAGCTGTTGCTCAGCTTTAGCTTAGCTTTAGCTTAGGTTTAGCTTAGCTTTAGCTTAGATTTAGCTTAGCTTTAGCTTAACTTTAGCTTAGCTGTGGCTTAGATTTAGCTTAGCTTTAGCTTCGCTTTACCTATGCTTTAGCTTAGCGTTACTGTTACTACTGGTGCTGCTTTCCTAGGGGTTCCAACTCCTAGGTAGGGTCGCACTGGGATACTATAATGAAGGTGCGCGGAGCTAAGGCGAGAGCCACATGTTGAGAACCAGCCGCCCTTTCATCTGAAGCTGTTATCAGTGTTTTAGCTTCAGGGTCACAAGCGGTGAAGACGTCTCAGGCGAAACGCCCGGCCCGCTCTAAAAACTGGCCTTGGGATGCGACAGGGGGAAGTTACTTAGAAGGGAAAGGAATGTAGGAGGAAGAGGAGGAGGAGAAGGAGGAGGAAGACGAAGAGGAGCAGGAAGAGAAGGAGGCGGAGGAGGAGGAGGAGAAGGAGTATGAGGAGAAGAAGGAGGAGGAGAAGGAGGAGGAGGAGGAGGAGCAGGAGCAGGAGCAGGAAGGAGGCGGGAAGAACAGGAGCAGCAGCCGCCGCAGCAGCAGCAGCAGGAGGAGGAGGAGGAGGAAGGCGGGGGGAAGACCAGGAGCAGCAGCAGCAGCAGGAGGAGGAGGAGGAGGAGGAGAAGGAGGCGGTGGAGGAAGAGGAGGAGGCGTAGGAGGAGGAGGAGGAGGAGAGGAGGAGGAGGAGGAGGAGGAGGAGAGGAGGAGGAGGAGGAGGAGGAGGAGGAGGAGGAGGAGGAGGAGGAGGAGGAGGAGGAGGAGGAGGAGGCGTAGGAGCTTATGGAGGAGAGGACGAGGAGCAGGAAGAGAAGGAGGAGGAGGCAGCGTAGGAGGAGGAGGAGGAGGAGGAGGAGGAGGAGGAGGAGGAAGGACCAGTGCAGAGGGAGGAGGAGGAGGAGGAGGAGGAGGAAGGAGGAGGATGAGAGGAGGAGGAGGGGAGGAAGAGGAGGAGGAGGAGGAGGCGGAGGAGGAGAAGAGGAGGAGTTATGGAGGAGAGGACGATGAGGAGGAGGAAAGGAGGAGGAGGAGGAGGAGGAGGAGGAGGAGGAGAAGGAGGCGGCGTAGGAAGGAGGAGGAGGAGGAGGAGAAGGAGAAGGACCAGTGCAAACCCAAGATTCGCCAACGATGCTGCAATAAAGGAGGAGGAGGAGAAGGAGGACCAGAGCAAACCCAATATTCGTCAACGATGTTGCAATAAAGGAGGAGGAGGAGGAGGAGGAGGAGGAGGAGGAGGAGGAGGAGGAGGAGGAGGTTGAGGAGGAGGACGAGGCTGAGGGAATCTCGGCTAGAGACAGGTCCCAGCACACCCGAGGGCATCGGTTGTGGCCCTGGGCGCCCTTCGGCCTGGTAGCGCCTCCGCCGCCCGCAGGGCCCTCGCCGTCGGCAGCGGGCGGGCGGGCGCGCCCCGGCCAAGCGCGGCGCAGGCCGCTGCGAGCCCGAGGCGCGCCATCTGGCCATCACCTGGGGAAGGTCGAGGGCGGAGGCCTTCTCCTCCCTCCTCCGGCACCTTCTCCTCATCGCCATTTCCTCCTCCTCCTCCTCCTCCTCCTCCTCCTCCTCTCCCCCTCCTCGCCCCTGCCCCTCCCCTTTCTGGCCTGATGACCTCGTGAGTGGTAGAGTGTACGTGTCGCACATGGTTGCTCAATCACGCGGGGATGTACGGCTTGCTCTACCCTTGCTCGACCGCTCGCCCGCCACGGCACCCCCGCACGCCGAGGCGCCCGGCGAGGGGTCCGAAGGCTGGCCGCTGGCGGGCGCTCGGCGTGCTCGGCACCCTGCGCGCCACGGGGCTCCAGACGGGACGGAGGAGTGGCCGAGGCCTGGCGCGACACCCTCGTCGAGCTCTTGCAGGGAGCCGCTGCGCGGGCCTGCATCCTCTTGGGGCGCTGGCCGCGCCGAGCTCCCGACTCCTGCCGAGGCCCTGGAGCCCGAGCAGCCGAGGTCGGAGCTGGCGGCCGCGCGAGCCCGCCCACGGGGGCTGGGGCCGATCGGCGGCGAGCCCGGGGGGGAGGTGAGAAGGGGCGGGCCTTCTCAGAAGGCTCGGAAGTCCCCTGGCCTCCCGAGAAGTTTTCTCAGCCTTCCCCGAAGACGCAGGAAACTTCTCAGAAGGCGCGAGGGCTTCTGAGAAGCCCCGCCGCGTTCTAAGAAGGCCGGCTCCTTCTCAATTCCCCCCCTCGCTCGCCGCCGAACACGTCCATCAGAGATTGGTTGTCCTCACGCTCCGGCGGAAGCCGTGCGTCGCCCGTATGGGCGGATTTGTGGACGTTGGCTGCTACCGTCGATTTCGCTGTGAAGGACTGTGTCACGGACGAGTTGCTGATGAAGCTTAGTTGAACCAGCGATCTGATGGAAATATCACCCCGCCGCCTGGCCGCACACGCATATCCTCCTGCTCGTGCTGCGGTTCCTCCTCCTCTTCCTCCTCCTTCTCCTCCTCCTCCTCCTCCTCCTTCTCTTCCTCCTCCTCCTCCTCATCCGTCCCCCATTCCTCCACCTCTTCCTCTTCCTTCGGCTCCTCCTCCACCTGCTCCTCCTCGTGCTGCTGCTCCTCCTGCCTCCTGCCTACCGCTGCTGCTGCTGCTCCTCCTCCCCCTCCGCGCTGCAGCTCTTGGAGGGCGTCTGCCGCCCACCGCCGCGCCTGGGTTCTCGCGGTCCCTGCGCTCGGCATGGCTCCCGCGCGCCCCCACCCCGTTGGTGCGGGCCACCGCGGGAGGGATGCTGGAGGCCCTTCGAGATGTCGTGGAGAAGCGGTTTACGATGAACGCATTGGATAAAGGACCATTGGATAAAGACTCCAGGGTGAAGCCGGTGGAACACCAATTGGGGCTCCCGGCCACGGATATCACCGCGGCCCTCGTCAGATAAGGAATCCCCCAGGATCTGATGCCTCCTGGGCACATTACTTGACGAACGCCCGCACCGTACTTGGCGACGCGGGCGAAATTGGCGCCGATAGCGACGCAACCATGATGCATTGGCGACGCGGATGTACGGTCGGGAACGATCGCTTCGCGTGTCGCGGCGGCGGTGCCGGCGACACGCCATGCCCTGCGAGCGGAGAGGAGAGCGCGTCGCTCGGTTCCACAGGGCGGGAGGCTGGGAAGGCTCGGGACACTGGCGCTTGGAAATGGGGAAGTGGATAGCGTGCCCCGCCGATGCGTGGTTGGCCAGAGCTGGCGGAGCGACGCTCTAGACCAAAGTTTCCGACCGCAATTGGCGAGGCGCATGTCATGGGCACCGATGGCAATGTGACGATGATGCATTGGCGACGCGGTGCAATCTGGGGCCGTCGGGCGTTCCTCCATTTCGGGCAGTGGATTCCAGGCGTCCATGAGGGGGGGCGTCCAAGGCAAGGGGGGTCGCAAATCATAGCCCGAGACACGTGCCTCGACACGGGGGGGGACCACGGGACGTATTGAAGCCAGCAGCGGGGACCCATGCATTCCAGGGCGATGTCGTGGCCCCCGCCTCGATGCCCCCCTCTCAGACGCCCCGCGGCTGGAAGCTCGGTTCGAGCCTGGGGGCTGGGGCCGTCAGGCAGCCACGTGGGGCGAGGAGGTGCCCCTCAGGGGCGGGGTCCCGATGCTCGGGGGCCCACGCCACGACACGCTCGTGACGTCGGCTGCCCAATCTTGGCCAAGACTCGGGCCTCTCCCTCCTCTGCTCCAGCCCTGTCCGGATGGGGCCTGACGATGCCGTGCCCCTGCTCGCCATCGCTCGGACGTCCATTTCGCGTGCGTTTTTCGGTTTCGTGCGTGTTTTTTTTGCTCGATGGTCCAGGATCGTCCTCAATGGTTCCCGCCGAGAAAGAATGCACACGTCCGAGCGATGCCAGGCCTGGGGGGGGGGGCGGCGGGGGGGCCTTCGCGCGTGCCTGCTCGAGGCTGCAGACCTGCCTGTACCCACAACCCCCCGCAGCGCCGCGCGGAGGCGAGGTCCGAGCCCGACGCCCGGGCCCGAACAGCCACCCCTCCTCGTCCCCGTGGGGGGGGGGGTGAGGAGGGGGGTCGTTCGGGCCTCCTCCCGGTCCTTGTCCCCGTTCTCGTCCCCCCTCCCGATTTCGTCCTTTCGGTTCCTCCTCCTCCTCCTCCTCCTCCTCCTCCTCCATGTTCTCATCCTCTCCCCTACCTCTTCTCTCTTTCGCCTCCTCCGCGTGGGGGCGCCCTGTCCGACTGCAGGGAAGGAGAGGGCAGAAGGGAGGCGGAAGCGGAGCCGCCGGCTGGCGGGCGCCAACGCCACCGCTCCTGCCCGCGGATCCTTCCCGCCTCCTGCCTCGGAGGCCCCCTCCCCGCCTCATCCCGGGAGAGCTGGGAGAGCAGGAGGGCTGAGGGATAGCTGGGGAGCGGGAGGGCTGGAGGGAGGGAGGGAGAGGGCGGGGGAGCTGGTGAGGTGATGGGGAGAGCACAGGATGCGATGGCCGATGAGTCAAAGGGTGCCTGGATGTGCATACCTCCAGCCTGGACTTAGCATGCGATGGCCGATGTGTCAAAGGGTATACTGCAGTTCGCAGTGATGATCCAGAACGCAACAACAAATTTCAAACGCGCTTGAAACATTCGCTAGGATGGGGGACGATGAAGAGAAGAGCTGAGGAAGGAGAACGGTGGAGGAAAATGATGAGGCTGTTGCCTGTTAGACATTTTCAATCCAACGGAACTCAAACGAGTACGAACAATGTTGCTGCCATACCCTGCTGCAACAAGCAACGCGACACTAAACTGCGCCCGTGCCACCTGGGAGATGATCCAATCTCCAGCTCGTTCTCCCTATTTGTGCTCTTCTCCTCCTCCCCACCATCTAGTGGAACAAAACACCAAACACTGCATAAACATACTTTCTCAGAGGCCCGTGCGGATTTCTTGGATCGGCGCTGGACCCCCTACCTGGCGTGCGGAGCGCTCCAGGGGCGGCGCCGAAGGTCCAAGAAATCCGCGCGGAGCACAGAGAAATTATGTGTATGCAATTTTTCCCCCGACCTTGCGGAGGGGTTCCCGTTTAGAGTTCCCCTGGGGGGTCTGGGGGGGTACCCCCCGGGACACCCCCCTGGCCACGGAGCGCACGCCGGCGGAAGCCGGCGGAAGACGGCCCCATTTCGGCAAACGCGCTTCCGTGCGGCCAGCCCCAAGATGATGCGTAAGATGGTCCAAGAGGACCCAGAGTCACTTGGCGGCGCGCAGAGGGGGGTAGGGAGAGTGGGGAAGGCTTCTTAGAAGCACCCCTGCTTCTTAGAAGGCGCGGGCCTTCTTTATAGACGTAAGGCCGAGGCCTTCTAAGAAGCAGGGTGCTTCTAAGAAGCCTTCCCCCCTCCCCCTATCCCCTTTGGCGCGCCGCCAATGAGTCGCCAGCAGGTTGATCCAGGCCATCCAAGATCGCGCCCAGACGGCCCAAGGAGCTCCCAGGACGACTCGAGAGGCTTCCGAGAGGCTCTCCAGGAGAGCCCCAAGTGTCAACATTTATTGTTTTTTGTTGGGTTTTTGAAGGTTTTTCGGGCTCCCGCGTTTTCGGCTCCCCGACGCTCCAAGACAGCCCAAGAGGTCCCCAAGATCGTCCCAAGTCGGCCTAAGAGGCCGCCAAGACAGCGCCCAGACAGTCCAAGACGCCCTCAAGACGGCCCAAGAAGCCTCCAAGACGGCCTCCGAAGGCCCCAGGAACGCTCCAAGAAAACCTCCAGAGGAGGGGCATGGACCAACATTTCAGGCTCTCCGCCCAAAAAGACGCCCAGGAGGCCCCAAGAGGCCCCCAGAAGGCCCCCAGGATCGCGTCCAGACGGCCAGGGAGCTCCCAGGACGCCTCGGGAGGCCTCCGAGAGGTCCTCCAAGAGAGCCCCAAATGTCAAAATTCATAGGTTTTCGGTTGAGTTTTAAAGGTTTATCGGGTTCACGCGTTCTCGGCTTCCCGACGCTCCAAGACAGCCCAAGAGGTCCCAAAGATCGCCCCAAGACGGTCTAAGAGGCACCCAAGAGAGCGCCCAAACAATCCAATACGCCCCCAAGACGGCCCAAGAGGCCTCCAAGACGGCTTCCGAAGGCCCCAGGAACGCTCCAAGAAGACCTCCAGAAGGGGGGCAGTGACCGACAATCTAGGCTCTCCGCCCACAAAGACACCCAGGAGGCCCGTAGAGGCCCCAAGGAGGCCCCCAAGATCGCGTCCAGACGGCCCAGGAAACTCCCAGGACGACTTCCTTTTTGCCACACCTGCACGCGCACGGCCCTTGCAAAGCCGGTGGCTCGCATGGTGGCGTGCTGAGCTCACCGCACACCGCATTATTTCGTTCAAGTGGCTTACATGGTGTCTTTCTCGCAAGCCACGCCCATCTGCCGTTCGCTGGTGGCTCGCATGAAAGCGTGCTCGGCTCACCTCGCACGGACCTCATTTTGCGACCGGCTCACATGTTGTCGTACTGACCGCATTTCGTCGCTCGCATCTTGTCCAAGACGACTTCCTGACGGC